GTTGCTGTATCTTTTCACTTTTGTTTGTTGGTACATAATTTCTCAACCGCTTTCTTAATAAGATCAATTGTACACAGATGGAACTATTTTATTTATTGATTTTTTTATATATAAGGTTTTCATAATAAACAACCTGGATATCTCTGGGTTGTATGTTACCTCTCGCCCTGTGACACATTTAAGAAAATGGAAGGCGTTGGGATTAAATAATTTACAGTGCCTCAATGCTATGCTTTTTTATTAATAAGTGTTATAAAGTTATATAGTGTAGTATTAAGTGGACACAGCCCTGAAAAATAAAGGCATGAGACCATGTGTCCTTGGGGAGTAGAAAGCTGTAGACTCTCGCTCACGCTTGCTTGGGAAAATGTAGATAAGAGGGGACCAGCTCTAGTGGAAAGTTACTGAGATACTGTTGTTTAGACTAGAATGAGCCTCTGTAATAAAACTGTTAGGGCCACACCACCATTTTGAGATCCGCGGCAACGTGTCATGAAGGACGCATCTCCCTTCTAGAAGTAATAAAGTGTTAAATGGTCTACTGAGCAGTGTTTTGTCTTCCACCGGATGCCTCTGAGGAATCAAAAGAACTCGGTGAAGTGTTGATATTTACAAAGGATAGACGGATTTCCATATTTGTGCTTTTGTCTGTGGTCTTCTGTTTTCTATGACTCAGCCGTCATCAGCATTTGAATCACAGTCTGATGACACTTGTGATGTAATGTTACCGAGGTGCTGTCAATCTAATCTGATATCTCGGTGTTGAAGTGAAATAAATAACAACCTGTCTTTTTTTTTTCCAGCCATCTCACTGCTGCACATTTAACACAGGATATTTCACATCTTGGAGAAATTCTTACATTTTCAAGGACTTTTTCAGAGATCTTCATCCTTGCCTCTTCTACTGTCTCTCCGCTCATTCCACACCAGGGTTTCATTCAAAGCCACCCACACTTTAGCTCCCATCTGTCAGTGTTCAGTTTATGGTAAGAGTCCAGGGTAAAGGCCCAGAGACAGAGACCTTAGACATCCAGGAGAGGCAGCCATGGGGAAAAATGGACCGTCAGCTCAATTACATGTTCACACAAAAATGGTGATGATGCTTTTGATGCTTTGTGAGTTAAGGGCTAACAGATATTCATATTAGGGGTTAATCATAACGTCCCTTATAATGTCAAACTGTGAGTCATCAGTGACCCCAGAACCTGATGGCATTTTGAGTCCCATCAGCAGCACTTAATGGAAGCTGAGCAACATCATCTCCTCGATGCTTGAAAACACACACGGGACCTTTATGTGCCACTCGGAATATCCAGGGATGAATTTATCTGTTTGTAGGGAATGTAACTGTTTAATTAATGATCTAATAATAAAAAAAGAAAAGAAAACCCTTCCGATTTTGGATTTGTGCATATCTGTGGGTTTTCGTCCAATCGAGGAAGTGAACTGGAGACGTCCGTAACAGTAAACACTTGACAGTATTAGGTTTGACCTGTGCTACTGGCAACCTCTAGCAAGAGACTGTGTTTATAGTAAACTTTTATATTTAGAGGAAGTTTAAAGGTCAAGACCACAGATTGGAGCATTTGGCATAGACAGCTTGCACTGGCTTAAAAAAAAGAAACCCTGTTAAACTGTGGTGTTACAGAAGTACAGGCCCTAACTACACCCATCTGTCTCAAATCCTACTCTCTATGACTCATGGCTTACTGATCACTACTAACGTGGGCAATTTACTCTAAAAAAACAAAAAGGCAAAGCTACCAGACTTTTACAGAGTGAATCTGTTAGTCTTTCAACCTACCTCCCACACAGGCACACAAACATCCTCAGCATGGATGATAACACAGCAAGACACCACATTTTTCACACAGTGATGCTCCACAACTGGACAATTAGTGTTAGAAAAAAGTTAAATACACCCATGTGCTGTTGTGTTGAGCATTTTGCTGAAAAAATTTCCTCTTCTGCAAAGATAATAAGTTGATTTATCACACAGTGAAGTGCAAAGCTATTCTTGGAATGACGTGCACTTCAGGACACTTCAGATTATATTTCCCAGAGGTCGGTTTTCTAAAATTTAACGAGAGCTTGAATTCCAAGCATTCCTCTCAAAGTACGGCCTGTTTTTGTTGAAATCTTTTTTGGAAATAGTCCACAGTCACTTCAGAGTTGGCTTTTTCAGAGTGACAGGAGATGAGTTCTCACTTGTTTTTCTCTTTGTCTTGCTACACATACGTCCTATCAACCCATTCTAACAGTGGTTCCACGCGGGTTTAGTAAATGAAAGATGTGCTGCTTTTGGTTATACTAAAGGGGAAAGAGTGAATACACATTTACTTTCATTATTTCATGCATTTAACATATGCACATATGCCAGAGCTGCTGTCTAACTCTTCTTTCTTTGACTTCTAGTTTGTTTTTCAGAAGGAAAATTAGTCACCAGTGTCTATTTTTCAGATGCCTAGCCCTTAGGCACTAACTGCAGAGCTTATAAAACACTTGGAAACTGTGTAGGAGACACGGTGCCCTTTTCTGGAAGACCGGTCATTTAATAATTCTGGTTGTGAATATGCTTGGCATTAAATCCTACTGTTTGATATTGCAGTATTTATAAATATTCACTAAGCTTAAAACTTATGCAAGAATTGTTTTAATATCAAACACTCATGATAGCGGATCTGACATCGTCTGTATTTTGAACTCCCACTGTCAACATTTCAAGTTATCAACAGCTCCCAAAACTGGTATGTGAAAGGTTAGCTTGTAGTAAGGAGTTACATATGCAAAGTAAAAGAACCAAGTATGCAGCATCTTATCAGCTCTTTTTTATTTTATGGTCTTTCCTGCTCATTCTTCTGGTTTTCAGACTGCAGCCACTATTTTTAGTTTGCTTTATCCTCTGTCATCAGTTACCCACACATGTTCAGTGTTGGGAAGGTTACTTTTAAAATGTATTCAACTACAGATTACAGAATACATGCCCCCAAACGTAGTTTGTAATGCATTCTGTTGAGTTACTCAATGAGAGTAATGTATTCTGAATACTTTGGATTACTTAATATATTATCA